TGCCTAAGCAGCGGGTTGGACTAGAAGACCTCGAAGGTTCCTTTCAACTCTCGTACAGGTAGTCCTTGACTTACAACTGTTCATTTAGTGACCATTTGAAGTTACAAAGGCACTGAAAAAAGTCACCTAGTGTCACTTAAGTTTCACACTTATGACTGCTGCAGGCATCTCCACGGTTCCGTGGTCAAAATTCGGACACTTGGTTAACTGACTCATATTTATGACAGTCGCCGTATTCCGAGGATCACATGACCCCCCTTTTGGGACCTTCCGACAGGCAAAGTCAGTGGGAAAGCCAGGTTCGCTTAACAACCATGAGGCTAATTTCACAACTGCCATGATTCACTTAACAACGGTGGCAAGAAATGTCCTAAAGTGGGACGACACTCACTTAACCACTGCCTCGCTTTAGTAGCAGACATTTTTAGGCTCCATTGTGGTCGTAAGTCGGGGATGACCTGTATTCTGTATTTCGGTACCATGAAAACGGGGAGGCCTCTGCAGACCTTTGATTCGAAGTGACCGGGGCAGCGAAGGGAACACGATTTGTGACCGGTCCTCACACTTACGACCAGCGACATCGGGCACCCGTGGCCGCATCCGGTCCTTGAAGGAGCTGACAAGGCTGACGTTTCCCCTCGGCTGACGGCAGCCTCGTCCTCTGTTTGGGGAGGGTCTCCCTCCCTGCTAAAATGGGGTCTTCGGGCCCTTCCCAACGCAGGCTGTCAGAGGGACCCCCTCCCCGTGGTCTCCGCCAGAGGAAACTTAAAAAGCTCTGTAGACAAATTTATCACCCTCCAGGGAGATGCAGCTGGGGTGGGGTAGGGGGGGTCTTTCCTTACATAAGGGCCCACCATGTTTCCTCTGTGGGGCGGGAGGCTTTGATGCCATGGGGCCAGCCCCCCCCTCCAGTCTCCTCCTCCTCCGAAAGGGAAGGAGCCCCCCTTTTCTCTCTCTCCTTCCCTTCCACTCTGGCGACTCTGCGGAGGAAATGGCTAATAAACTCAGCTTTAGTTTGTGGGAAATGCGGTCCAAGCTTTTATGGAGGGGTGGCATTTGCAACGTGGCGCCCACGGGCTCGCCCGACAGGTAGCTTGAGACTTTCAAGAAGAGACTGGACTGCCATCGGTCAGGAACGGTGTAGGGTCCCCTCTGCTTGGGCGGGGGGTTGGACTAGATGACCGACAAGGTCCCTTCCAACTCTGTTATAGCCCTCGACTTTACAAGAGTCTTTACATTTAGTAGCCAAAGTTGCAAAGGCACTGGGGGAAAAAAAGTGATTTAAAGCGGTGCTTCACACTTACGACCGTTGCAGCATCTCCACAGTGGCGGGATGAAAATTCAGACGCTGGGTCACCGATTCATATTTACGATGGTTTTAGTGTCACGTGTTCCCCCTTTGTGACCATCTGGCAAGAAACGTCAATGGGCCAATCACCAGGAGACAGTGAGTTCTAGTCCCGCCTTAGGCATGAAAGCCAACTGGGTGACTTTGGGCCAATCACCAGGAGACGGTGAGTTCTAGTCCCGCCTTAGGCACGAAAGCCAACTGGGTGACTTTGGGCCAATCGCCAGGAGACTGTGAGTTCTAGTCCCGCCTTAGGCATGAAAGCCAACTGGGTGACTTTAGGCCAATCACTAGGAGACAGTGAGTTCTAGTCCTGCCTTAGGCATGAAAGCCAATTGGGTGACTTTGGGCCAATCACCAGGAGACAGCGAGTTCTCGTCCTGCCTTAGGCAGGAAAGCCAATTGGGTGACTTTGGGCCAATCACCAGGAGATGGTGAATTCTAGTCCCGCCTTAGGCATGAAAGCTGGCTAGGTGACTTTCGGCCAATCACCAGGAGACGGTGAGTTCTAGTCCCGCCTTAGGCATGAAAGCCAACTAAGTGACTTTGGGCCAATCACCAGGAGACAGTGAGTTCTAGTCCCGCCTTAGGCATGAAAGCCAGCTGGGTGACTTTCGGCCAATCACCAGGAGACAGTGAGTTCGAGTCCCACCTTAGGCATGAAAGCCAGATGGGTGACTTTGAGCCAATCACCAGGAGACTGTGAGTTCTAGTCCCGCCTTAGGCATGAAAGCCAGCTGGGTGACTTTCGGCCAATCACCAGGAGACGGTGAGTTCTAGTCCCGCCTTAGGCATGAAAGCCAACTAAGTGACTTTGGCCAATCACTAGGAGACAGTGAGTTCTAGTCCTGCCTTAGGCATGAAAGCCAATTGGGTGACTTTGGGCCAATCACCAGGAGACAGCGAGTTCTAGTCCTGCCTTAGGCAGGAAAGCCAATTGGGTGACTTTGGGCCAATCACCAGGAGACAGTGAGTTCTAGTCCCGCCTTACGCATGAAAGCCAACTGGGTGACTTTGGGCCAATCACCAGGAGACAGTGAGTTCTAGTCCCGCCTTGGGCATGAAATCCAACTGAGTGTCTTTCTTCCAATCACCAGGAGACGGTGAGTTATAGTCCCACTTTAGGCACGAAACCCTGCAGGGTGACTTCGTTTATAGCATGATTGATTTCAAAAAAGCAAGAAGGAAAGAGAAATAACTGAGAAGGAAAAAGTTTTAGTGCAGTGTTTCTCAACCTTGGTAGCTTGAAGATGGGTGGACTTCGACTCCCAGAATCCCCCAGCCAGCGCTGCTGGCTGGGGGATTCTGGGAGTCGAAGTCCACCCATCTTCAAGCTACCAAGATTGAGAAACACTGATTTAGGCGAATCTTCAGCGAGCTCCAAATTCAGATTCAGCCTTTGCCATAAGGAACTGGGAAGCAGCTGAATTTTGTCTCGGCAGGAAAAGAGCACCCCTGCTGGATCTTTTTGGACAGAAAGGGATTTCTTTCGCTCCTGCCCCCTCTCGCTTCGCACCCCACTTTTCTAGGAACGGAAGCCATCAAAATGCAAACTTTTTTTTGGGGGGGTGGTTTTCAAAGTGAAATCCATGCGAGGCATCCTGGCCTAACCCAGAACCCCATCTTCTCCCTTGAACCCCGGATCTTCCCTCTCATTCAACTGACCTGCTTTTGCAAACTTTTTGTTTGGCTTTCCGACGGTGAAGCGAATGCCACCGTCGGTAAGCGAACCATTAAGTTCTCCATGGACTGGTTTTTCCAAAAAAAAAAAAAAAAAACCTGGAAAGAAAAGTCAATTTTTGGAGAAACTGGCATCAAATCCAGTCTTTTTTCCCACAGGATGCTAAAAACCGATTTTAATGTTGCCAAGGGTCCAAAAGTCTTCGACTTACGACCGTAATTGAGTACCAACATTTATGCTGCTAAGTGAGAAATCTGTCAAGTGAGCTTTGTCCCATTTTACGACCTTTCTCGCCAGGGTCGTTAAGCGAATCGTCGCGGTTGTTAAATGAGTGAAGCCGGTTTCCCCCATTGATTTTGCTTGTCAAGACGGTCCCGTGACCGTCGTAAGTGTGAGTCAGCTGTCAAGCATCTGAATGTAAATCACATGATGTGATTTACATGCTGCAACGGCCGTTAAGTGTGAAAAACGGTCACAAGTCACTTTTCTCAGTTCCGTTGTATCTTCGGACGGTCACTAAGTGAACTGTTGTAAGTCGAGGACTACCTGTATGTGGGGCTGGGCTGTTGGAAGTTTGAATCCAGATGGTAAGTGCCCCCAGGGAGGTCCGTCATAACTTTGAACACTTGCCAAGCCACTGGTTGTAAATTGAGGACTAACTATATATTATGGCAGGTGGGAGGGGAGGGGGGGAATCCATGTGCTGAAAGCCCCTAATCCTCCCACCTCCTAATTTTTCATGCCATTGCAGATAGTCCTCGATTTACGACATTTCACTTAGTGACCGTTCGAAGCTACGATAGCACTGAAACAAAAGTGATTTACGATCGTTTTTCACACTTTACGGCCATTGCAGCATCCCCCGGGATCCAAATTTGGCAACGGACTCCTATTTATGACGGTCGTAGTGTCCCTGAGGTCACGTGATCCCCTTTTGTAACCTTCAGATGAACAAAGTCAATTGGGGGAAGCCAGATCCATTTAACGACCGTGTGATTCACTTACCGACTGTTGCAAGAAACTTCGTACAATGGGGCAAAAAAATGTATTTAACAACTGTCTTGCTTCGCAGCAGAAAGTTTGGGCTCAATTGTGATCATAAATCAAGGACTACCTATATTCTAACTCAGTGATGGCTAACCTTTTTGTCATTGCATGCCGGGGGGGCGGGAGAGTCGCGCATGTGCCCACACCCATAATTCTATGCGCCTCGCCCCCGCGCATGCACACACAGCCCTGCTCCCCTTCCCCCCGCTCCTCGCATGCAATTGCCCAGTTTTCTCTCTCACCTGGCTCCAGAGCCTTTCTAGGAGTCTGGGGAGGGCTAAAACAGCCTTCCCCACCACCACCACCCCAGAGGCCCTCCGGAGGACAGAAACGGCCTGTTTGCCAACATCCGGTGGGACAGCAAAAAAGAGGCCTTCCCCACCACCACCCGAGGTCCTCCGGAGGCAGGAAACAGCCTGTTTCCCTACTTCTGGTGGGCCTAGAAGGCCCGAAAATTACTGGCCGGCACACGCATGCGCACTGGAACTGAGCTTGTGTGCCCACTGATATGTTCGCCATCACAGTTCCTTGACTATGATAGATTTAAATCCCAGATTTCTTTGGTCAACTCTCCCATTTTCTCTAGGGAAGAAGCTTGTGAGGTAGGTTCCGGCCCCCATGAACGTCATGGGAGTTGACCAAGAGCTACTAAATCAGGCCTTGTCCAATCCAGATGCCCTCTAGATGGCAGCAGAGAGTGTTAAGGATGCTGTGTATCTCTTTCCTGCCCTCTGGTGGCGGTGGTTGGGTAGTGCACTGTCCTGTTCGGTCTCCGTTCTTTTTTTGTAGTTGTCCCACAACCTGTGGCTTTTCTGATCAGGTCGGATTACAGCTCCCATCTTCCCCAGCCTTCATGGCCGCATAAGGAATACTAGACAAGAGTCATTGGAGACGAGATGGACAGAATATATATATATTTATATAAAAAAATAAAAACTATTTACTTCTGAGACACAATACCACAATCGTAGCTTAGCCCATTGTTCACAACCAAGCACTAACCAGACATTCATCGTTCTGGGCTCTTATAGGCTGGGCCAGTGTTACCCACTTGAAAATGGGTAGACTTCAACTCCCAGAATTCCTTAGCCAGGTATGTGAACTTCAACTCCCAGAATTCCTCAGCCAGCCATGGCAAAGAGTTACAGCAAAGCAATACAGAACATGCTTATCGCTCTGCCGCCATCTTGGAGGGCATCTGGATTTTTACAATGGCTGGCTGGGGAATTCTGGGAGTTGAAGTCCACATACCTTCAAGTGACTAAGCTGCATTGGCTGGCTGGGGAATTCTGGGAGTTGAAGTCCATACCCATCTTCATGTGGTTGAGAAACAACGGACTAGGCCTCCTTACGGACAAAAATCAGACCGCTAGTCCTCATTGTTTGAAGGTCAGGCAAAGGGAGACAAAGACCGATCCTTGTGTCCAGATCATCTCCAAGATTCAGAGGGTCCATGGATGTTCTTGTTGTGGTCCGCCAGCAGCCTGCAGAGCTGGCGGTGGAGTCGGACAGCGATGAGGCTGAAGAAGAAGATGGGCCAGTCCTGGAGGCTGGGGAAGGCCCGGATGAGGGCTCTGTGTTGGAGGCAGACATGGGGCCAGGGCCATCTGGGAGCGATGTGCGGACTCTGGAGCCTCCAGAGGCTGAGAGCAGAGAGGCAGAGGAACAGGAGGAGCCTGTTCCTAGTACACACATGAGAAGAGCTTCCAGAAGGCAAGAGCAGCTAAAGCAAAAGGGACGACTCAGGAGTAAGGCCAAGAGATGATTGGCCCCTCCCATAAGGCTTAAAAGACCAGCAATGGCTCTTGGCCTCTTTGCCGGAAAACAACCGTTGAGAGATTTGCTTCGTGTTTGGATGTATTTCTTTCTTGTCAGCGTCTTCTGTTCCTGAACTTTTGCCCAGAAAAGCCTTTGGCAGTTTGCCTAATTATCCCAAGGTCAGAGATAAACTAAAGACTGGTGTTTTGAGGACTTTGCTTTCATTTCATTTAGAACACGCTGAAAATGAGTTAATTCTCAGCTGTTTTAATAAAATCTGTTTGTTTTTTGGAACTGTTTTGCATTTAATATCAACTACGTGGGCCTGGGTCACAACAGTTCTGGAAATGGGGGTGGGGATGGGTGGGTGGATGGGGAGGCAGGAGAAAGCCCCCACCTATCGCAAGTCGGGGAGAGAAGAGCCCAGGTAAGTCCGTAGGTCGCTGAGGTTCGACCGGATGATCTTAGCGGGGATAGTCTCCTTGTTCAAGCGCTTGTAGGCCGCGTAACGGTGGCAGCCTCCGAAGGAGTAGTAGTAATCCCCCCCTTCCCTGCCTTTGATCCAGAGGACGTCAATTGGGGGGACCCGGTCAGGTTCCTCCTAAAAAAAAAGGGAAAAAAAGAAAGGAAGGAGGGAAAGAAGGAGAGAGGGAGAGAAGGAGAGAGAGAGATTAGCTCGAACAAGTGAATCACAGGAATGAACGAATCCCGCTTCTAACTTGGCAGGTATTCCTCGGCTCACCGAGTCAAGTCATAGCGGCCAGATCAAATATTAAAAGAATATTAAAATTGGATTTAAAAAATTACTACAGGGAATGCAGCTGAGGTTCTGTCCTGCGCAGGTTTTGAGTTAGAAACCGAAAAGGGAAGAATTAAGCGAGGCAACAGGGAGAAAAAGATTTTCCGTAACTCAAGAGGAAGGGGCAGTTTGCGAATGACAGACACCCCCCCACCCGAAAGAAAAACATTTCCCATTGGAAATCTGTGGGATTGTTCTAAGATAACTTACTGTTCACCGCCCCGAGTCCTTCGGGAGAAGGGCGGTATATAAATATATATATATATTTCACAGTGACTGCTGTTAAGCCTGGTTTCACCCAGTTTATATGTCTACTTTGGTTTTTTCTTGCCTAAGTGTAAGACTTTACTTTTCTCTACATTGAATTTCGTTTTGTTAGATAGGGCCCAGGGTTCAAGTCTGTCAAGATCCATATGTCTCTTGAGCCTATCATCTAGGGTGTTGGCTATTCCTACCAGTTTAGTATCATCTGCAAATTTGATGAGTTCCTCTCCTATTCCCTCCTCTAAATCATTTTATATACAAATTAAATAAAAATAAAAACAATCTTCTAGAATTGAGACTCTAGAAAGAGTGCAGAGAAGAGCAACGAAGATGATCAGGGGACTGAAGGCTAAAAAGTACGAAGAACGGTTGCAGGAACTGGGCATGTCTAGTTTCATGAAAAGAAGGAGCAGGGGAGACATGATAGCAGTCTTCCAATATCTCAGGGGCTGCCCCCAAAGAAGAGGGAGTCAAGCTATTCTCCAAAGCACCTGAGGGCAGGACAAGAAGCAATGGGTGGAAACTAATCAAGGAGAGAAGCAACCTGGAATTAAAGAGAAACTTCCTAACAGTGAAGACAGTTAACCAGTGGAACTGCTTGCCACCAGAAGCTGTGAATGATCCAACACTGGAAGTTTTTAAGAAGATGTTGGATAACCCTTTGTCTGAAGTGGTGTAGGGTTTCCTGCCTGGGCAGGGGGTTGGACTAGATGACCTCCAAGGTCCCTTCCAACTCTGTTATTCTATTTCTAATGAATTCTAATCCTAATTAATTCTTATTCTCTCCTGTCCTGTCCTAACCTATTCCCAAAGCCCAACATCCTGCCGGTGGCCATCCTCGCCCAACTACCTGGGCGTTCAATTAACCCCCCCTCCCCACCGTGGAAGAGAGAAACCCGAGTCAGCTCCTAACCCCGACCCAGGGTCGTGGGAACCGACCCTACCTACCTGGATGGTCTTCACGAGACTTTCCACTTTCCCCTCGTCCAGGACCGGCGGGATGGGTCTGATGATGACCCGCATGGGCACTTCGTGGACCTCGGAGACGTTGTCTGAATGGACGCTCCGGCTCTCTTCGCTTTCCATGCTGAGCCAGCGCCGCCACTGCCCGCGATCACCGCTTGGTGCCCTTTCCCAACACCTCCCCGCCACTCGCGCCGCCGCTCCTCGCATCTTGGGAGGGTCCCCAACGCGCGTATTAAAGGCACCCGGGGAAGTTTGGCCGGAGTGTACCATTCCAGGGGACACGGGGGGTGGTGGTCGAGACTGATGAGCCCCCCACCCTTCCCGAGCGTTTCCCCGGCGCCTTCCGCGGATCCTGTCTCCAATGCGGGGACCCCCACTCAGATGGAGCCCGGAGCGCCGCGGATGGAGCCACTTGGTTGGAAGGGGGGGGTCTGCACGCGTGGAACAGCTGGCTTCCCCCCCCCCACCTTCTAAGTGGAAGGAGCCGTTGGTGAGTCACACGCGCAATTGTGCAACGCCTTTCCTGGGCTGGGCTTCCACGCGCTTCTTCTGCTGAGTCAGGAGGAGGCAGCGGAAAAACGGGGCGGCCGGAGAGGGAGCGTGTGGTTGGCGATCCTGGGAGGGGGGCGGCAATGGGGAAGGGGGCGTTTAATGACGTTTTAATAGGTTGTGATAAACTGCCAAGTCACTTAGATGACGAGAGAGAGAGAGAGAGAGAGAGAGAGAAAGAAAGAAAGAGAAAGAGAAAGAGAAAGAGAGAGGAAGAAAACGAGAGAGAAAGAAAAAGAGAAAGAAAGAAAGAGAAAGAAAAAAGAAAGAGAAAAAGAAAAAGAAAAAGAAAGAAAGCAAGGGAAAGAAGTGAAAGAAAGAGTAAGAGAAAGAGATGAAGAAAAACAGAAAGAAAGAGAAAAAAGAAAGAAAGAAGAGAAGAAAGAAAGAGCGAGGGAAAGGAGGGAGAAAAAGAGTGACAGGAAGAAAGAGCAAGAAAAAAGGAAGAGGAGGAAAGAAAGAAAAAGAAAAAGAGAAGAAAGAAAGAAAGAGCGAGAGAAAGGAGAGAGAGAGTGACAGGAAGAAAGACAAGAAAAAAGAAAGAAAAAATGAAGAGAAAAAGAAAAAGAGAAAAAGAGAAGAAAGAAAGAGCGAGGGAAGGGAGAGAGAGAAAGAGTGACAGGAAGAAAGAGCAAGAAAAAAAGGAAGAGAGGAAGAAAGGAAGAAAAAGAAAGAAAGAAAAAGGAGAAGAAAGAAAGAGTGAGAGAAAGGAGAGAGAGAAAGAGTGACAGGAAGAAAGAGCAAGAAAAAGAAGAAAGAAAGAAAGAAAAAGAAAAAGAAAGAAAAAAGAGAAAGAGAAAAAGAGAAGAAAGAGCGAGGGAAAGGAGAGAGAGAAAGAGTGACAGGAAGAAAGAGCAAGAAAAAAGAGAGGAAGAGAGAAAGAAAAGAAAAAGAAAAAAGAGAAAGAGAAAAAGAGAAGAAAGAAAGAGAGCGAGAGAAAGGAGAGAGAGAGTGACAGGAAGAAAGAGCAAGAAAAAAGAAAGAGGAAGAAAGAGGAAGAAAGAAAAAGAGAGAAAAAAGAAGAAAGAAAAAAAGAAAGAGTGAGGGAAAGAAGATAGAAAGAGAAAAAATGAGAAGGAAGGAAAGTGAAGGAAGAAGGAGAGACAATGAGAAGAAAGAAGGAAGAAAAGAGGGAGGGAGAGGGAGAGAAAGAGAAAGAAAGAGAGAACGAAAGGAAAGAAGGATGGGAGGGATGGAAGGAAGAAAATGCTGCCCAGCTCCCAGCAACTCTAGGTTGCTTTACTAATTGTAAAATGTTAAGTTCATTCCCCGAAACCGAGTTTGTGTGTTATGTGTGTGTCTTTCTAATTTTAGGCTTTATTGTTAACGTTTCAAAGACATCGAACGCGTCTTAGCATTTTTAACGTGGCAGTCCAGGGCTCTTTTTAGAACTTCCGGAAAAGATGATTTTTCTTTTTCTTCTGAGCCAAGGTCCTATTTTTATTTTTATTTTATTTTTTTGCTATGTGAGAGCGGTATTCTGAAAGTCCTTGAATACGCTTGCAGGTGTTCAGAAAGACGCTAAGCCAGCCGAGAAAAGAGTCACGTAACCCACAAATCCACCACTTGTGGGATGTTATCTAGGATCCCTGTTGAACTATTGATCAAGTGAGTCTCCCATGAAATCAGTAGATTTTATAGTTCGGTCACTTGCTTTTTCTAACCGTTCAGGTATCTGATATTTAAAATGTATGTTCCATTTGTTCTTGCAACCTATGAAAGGTATAGATCGAGGGGTCAGCAACCTGCGGCTCTGGAGCCGCATGTGGCTCTTTCACCCCTCGGCTGCGGCTCCCTGTCGCTCAAAATACGCGTTACAACCGCCAATGTGTGATAGCTGCCGGCACGCGATTTATTGAGCTTTTCGATCCCCGGTAGGCCAACCACGGATAAGTCCAAGAAAAGAAAAGTTTCAGAAGAAAACAGAACATTTAATTCAACTACATATGCTAGTTTTGTGGCTCCCGGTGTTTTCTTTTCTGGGGGAAACGGGTCCAAATGTGTTTTTAAGCTTGCCGACCCCTGATATAGATGAAGGGAGAAAGTCAGTTTAATATGGTTGTGAAGGTGCTGGCCTAGAAACCAGGAGATGGGAGTTCTAGTTCTGCCTTAGGCATGAAAGCCAATTGGGTGACTTTGGGCCAATCACCAGGAGACAGTGAGTTCTAGTCCCACTTTAGGCATGAAAGCTCTCTGGGTGACTTTGGGCCAATCACCAGGAGACAGTGAGTTCTAGTCCCGCCTTAGGCATGAAAGCCGGCTGGGTGACTTTGGGCCAATCACCAGGAGACGGTGAGTTCTAGTCCCGCCTTAGGCATGAAAGCCAATTGAGTGACTTTGGGCCAATCACCAGGAGTCAGTGAGTTCTAATCCCGCTTTAGGCATGAAAGCCAATTGGGTGGTTTTGGGTCAATCACCAGGAGACAGTGAGTTCTAGTCCTGCCTTAGGCATGAAAGCCAATTGGGTGACTTTGGGCCAATCACCAGGAGATGGTGAGTTCTAGTCCCGCCTTAGGCATGAAAGCCAATTGGGTGACTTTGGGCCAATCACCAGGAGATGGTGAGTTCTAGTCCCGCCTTAGGCATGAAAGCCAATTGGGTTGTTTTGGGTCAATCACCAGGAGACAGTGAGTTCTAGTCCCGCCTTAGGCATGAAAGCTGGATGGGTGACTTTGGGCCAATCACCAGGAGGCGGTGAGTTCTAGTCCCGCCTTAGGCATGAAAGCCGGCTGGATGACTTTGGGCCGATCACCAGGAGACGGTGAGTTCTAGTCCCACCTTAGGCCCTTGCCTCCAGAAGTTGTGGGTGCTCCATCACGGGAGGTTTTTAAAGAGGAGAACTTGGACATCCGATTTGCAAGAATGGCACATAGGGTCTCCTGCCTGATCATGTCAAAGGGTTAGACTAGAAGACCTCCGAGGTCCCTTCTGAACCTCTTGATTCTGGTGTTCCTCAGACGTGGCCGGTCGCTCCCGCAATTTCCCTGCGACATTTTTTTTCCCCTTCTTGCTACAGAGCAGTTTATTGCAAAACTCTTCCACATTTTTCTCTCCTGAGTAAAGAGCCCCACCTCACTGTTGCAAAAGCCGCAATGAACTTTTTAAAAAATCCATTTCCTTGGCGGAAGGCAAGGCCTTGGAGTACACAACTCCACTCTTGTGTATACACAGTACGCTGTGTCTCTGTTGCGGGAAGTCGGTATTATCGAACCGACCCCGTATTGATTGAAGCATTAAGGAGCTAACTGGAAGCGGCTGTTTGTTGTCAGAGACTGAAGATGGGAGATTGACAGGCTCAAGAAGAGGAGGAGGAGGAGGAGGAGGAGGGCAAAAGGCCATGCAGTTAGTCCTCGACTTACGACTGTTTGTTTAGCGTCCGTTCAAAATTGCAGTGCCGCTGGAAATAAGGGACTTTCAGGCCAGTCCTCGCACTTAACAACTGTGGCAGCATCTTCCTGGGTCAGGGGTCTGCAACACACAAAGAGCCATTTGGACCCGTTTCCCACAGAAAAAAAAACACCGGGAACCACAAAACCCTTTCTCTCTCCCTCTCTCTCTGAATCTCTCTCTGTCTCTCTCTCCCCCTTCTCTGTATCTCTCTCTCTCCCCTATCTTCCCCCCTCTCTGTATCTCTCTCTCTCTGTGTAGCTATGCCTCTCTCTCTCCCCCTCTCTGTATCTCTCTCCCCTATCTTCCCCTCTCTCTGTATCTCCCTCTCTCCCCTCTCTCTGTCTCTCCCTCTCCCCTATCTTCCCCTCTCTCTGTATCTCCCTCTCTCCCCCTCTCCCTCTCTATCTTCCCCCCTCCCTCTGTATCTCTCTCTCTCCCCTCTCTCTGTCTCTCCCTCTCCCCTATCTTCCCCTCTCTCTGTATCTCCCTCTCTCCCCCTCTCCCTCTCTATCTTCCCCCCTCCCTCTGTATCTCTCTCTCTCCCCTCTCTCTGTCTCTCCCTCTCCCCTATCTTCCCCTCTCTCTGTATCTCCCTGTCTCCCCCTCCCTCTCTATCTTCTGCCCTCTCTGTATCTCTCTCTCTCCCCCTCTCCCTCTCTATCTTCCCCCTCCCTCTGTATCTCTCTCTCTCCCCTCTCTCTGTCTCTCCCTCTCCCCTATCTTCCCCTCTCTCTGTATCTCCCTGTCTCTCTCTCCCCCCTCCCTCTCTATCTTCTGCCCTCTCTGTATCTCTCTCTCTCTCTCCACCCTCTCTCTGTCTCTCTCTATGTCTTTCTCCTATCTTCCTCTCTCTGTGTAACTCTCTCTCCCCTATCTTTCCCTCTCTCTGTATCTCCCTGTCTTTCTCTGTCCCTCTCCCTCTATCTTCCCCCCTCTGTATCTCTCTCTCTCTGTGTAGCTATGCCTCTCTCTCTCCCCCCTCTCTGTATCTCTCTCCCCTATCTTCCCCTCTCTCTGTATCTCCCTCTCTCCCCTCTCTCTGTCTCTCCCTCTCCCCTATCTTCCCCTCTCTCTGTATCTCCCTCTCTCCCCCTCTCCCTCTCTATCTTCCCCCCTCCCTCTGTATCTCTCTCTCTCCCCTCTCTCTGTCTCTCCCTCTCCCCTATCTTCCCCTCTCTCTGTATCTCCCTGTCTCTCCCCCCTCTCTATCTTCCCCCTCTCTTTCTGTATCTCTCTCTCTCTCTGTGTATCTATGTCTCTCCCCCCTCTCTATATCTCTCTCTCCCCCCTCTGTATCTCATTCTCCCCTATCTTCCCCTCTCTCTGTAACTCCCTGTCTCTCTCTCCCCCTCCCTCTCTATCTTCTGCCCTCTCTGTATCTCTCTCTCTCCCCCTCTCCCTCTCTATCTTCCCCCCTCCCTCTGTATCTCTCTCTCTCCCTCTCTCTGTCTCTCCCTCTCCCCTATCTTCCCCTCTCTCTGTATCTCCCTGTCTCCCCCTCCCTCTCTA